CCCCCCCAACGAAGAAAAATGTCAATTTTTCAAATTTCGAGACCAAAAAAATAAAAATAATAATTGTCCGCTTACCCTCCCCCCCCCCCCCCCCCCCCACCCCACTGAGCGACTTTTCGGCCGGCGCGATTTTCAAATTTTCGGGAGCAAAATATTTTGGGCCCGATTTTAAAACCCCCCTTGAAAAAATCCTGCGTACGCCCCTGCACCACAGTAATTGTATTTAATGATGATTGTGTACCACGTTACAGTATACTTTAGTTTATTAACGGAGCATGAATGATTGATAATGCATTTCTAATCGGTCGTGGTGTTTCGATATACATTATTATTTTTTGTCTCAATATTAACTCATTAGTGAATTCATTAGTCGTTTCCACTTTACAATTTACAAGGTTGCCAAGTAGGAATGTTTTTACCTAGCTAGTCATAGGAAACAGAAACGAAAAGATGCATGGGGTTTGGACACAGAGAGAGAGTGTGTGTGTGTATTATGTACGTTGGTGAGGGAGAGAGAGAGAGTATTATGTACGTTGATGAGATAGAGGGAGAGGGAGAGAGAAAGAGTGTGTGTGTGTGTGAGAGAGAGAGAGAGCATAATTATGGACCACCTAATAGACTGAAATTACGGAATGAAGAAAATGTGAACAGAAGGAGAAAAGAGAGCGGTAGCGGAATTTTGTTTTTCAAGGATAGTATACAACAAACATGAAACACTGAAAAGCAAATACAGTTTTAGATATAAACATAGGCAAAGATACAAACGAGAAAAGGGGGCGATGCAACGACTTTGAAGAGACAATGGAGAGGAGGAGGAGCAGGGGAAAAGCAATCTAAGTTATACACAAATATATGAAGAAGTGAGGATGATATAAGTTTTCCCGGTCAATTTCCATTGTTTTCAGTCCATTTGATAAATCGTTCTATTCATTCAATTTAGTGCAAACACCATATTGGGCGGAGACTGTCTTTCAAAAATGCACTTCAGTCATTCCATTTATCGTATCGAACACGGATTGCCGCATTTTTATCATTAAAATTCAGTCCGTCTGGCGCATGCGCCAAAATTCATTAAACTCCGTCGGCAGGAGATGAAAAGTGCTCTCGGGCATTACTATTCGCGAATGTGCAGTCAATTTCGTAACGTGTTCATTCGAGTTACATATGGAAGTATCAGATGGAAGAAGGATAGCATATTGCTCCGATTGTCTCATTTTCGCTCGCGTGAACATTGCCAGCACAAACTAATGACCTCTACCTCCTACACGGATCATCGCCCATTCCCATTCACTATACGTTACGTACTAAAAGGATGTATTGTCTGACCATGAATATTCATGTTTTTGCTTACCTCGGCAAAATGTTTGCTTTTACTAAATTGAAAAATTACGGTGGGGGTTGGATGAAATGGACAAAATGAAATAGGCAGAAGTGATCTATGATAATTCATGCTTTTTATGTTTCGTGTGCTCGACCTATAATCTTCAAATCGCTTGGAAAAGTGAGTCCAAAGTTAGACTTGTTTCACATGTGTATTATAGGCAATGACGAGCTTGCAACCTATTTTGAAAAATTACGGTGGGTGAACTTTCAAAAGTCAACGAGACATGAGGGCTCCAATGAAAGAGCTAGTGATAACGTACGTCGGGGTGGATGTGCTTTTCGTTTAAACAAAAAATGAATTTTTAACGATTTTTAAAAAAAACGTCCATAGGCTAACATGTTAGGCTGCTGACTCTGAACATGCTCTGACGATAGGGGGCGTTGTGAAATGAGACTAAACGGAGCAATATGAAAAATGTTTTTGAATAGAGAATGATATCCGTTTGAAATCAACTCTTTACCTATATATTGTACAAAATATGAGCCTGTGATTGTCAAGTATGAATTTGCACCAATCTACTGTAATTATTTAATGTGTATGAGTGAATTGCAATAAGCGACATTTCCATTCATCATGGATACACACGAAACGTGATTTCCTTGATCAAGGTATATGCATGCAGTAATTTTGTTTTATTTCTTTTAATGCAGTCATTTTATATGATTTCGTATTGTTTAGAGATATATATGGTATAATATGTTATTAGTTTGTGTACATTGCATTGCCTATCAGGACATATAGATTATCTATACATATATTAATCACCACAAGGGCATTCACAAGTAGTTGAAACTGTCGATTACCCGTGCCTTCTTACATTTATCCTGTCATTCAGCCATTTTCAAATGGAGGTATAGTCTCCTGGACGCTAGGAGATTGAATCGGGACTGCATTACTTGTAGCTACTTGCGCCCTCTATATGCCAACAATGCCTAAGCGGTACCAGTTGATCCCCCATGGACCCCTTTTTCTATTAATTAAAATCTAATTTGATGAATTAACCACCTGCCAGTGACCACGCAGGGAGGTCTAATCCCTCATCGCAAAACTAGTGCAGATATGCTTTAATTTATTTATTTAAAAAAAATATTATTCTATTGAGACAGGGAAGTCAAACCTTGGATTGACATGGGGCCTAAAGAATTCCTGGAAAGTTAAAGAGAATTTTGAAGAACTTTTTTGAGGGGCAAGCAATGGCGTATCCAGCATAAAATCAGGTCAACATCAGTCCCCTTGTTTGACTGTCCAGGAAGAAGAACAAAACTTGGAGTTTGTCTCCATCAAGTGGAGCTGTAGACCATGGGCCAAGCCCTGTTTTCTTGCTTAGTTTTTGAATTCCGTGGTCTCCGACTGGGAAGTACCTACAAATGTGCCAAATATCTTGGAAATGTGTAATTGAAACAAAAATGACATGTTCCCAAGTTTGAAACTTGAGCACTAATTAATAACGGCCAAAAACAAAGAAAAAGTTAAGAATTGGTTGCTATGGACTTTTCCTCCCTAGCAACCATACAAGGGGAGATATTTGTTGGAATATTTTGCACCTAACATGCTAATTGTGCATACAAATGGTGTTTGGAGAAGTGTGATGTTATGAATTGAAGTTCAATCATGTAAAAATTTAATTTGCATATTTATTAATACCTTGATTAATACATGTATTATCCTTATTATTCAAAAACATGTTGTTAAAAAGTCTCATAAAACCTGATATCAGTATGAACATAGAATCAGATGTATTCATGTATTTATCAATTTTTCCAAAGGGATGGCATTATTAGTCACATGCCCCATACCCCCTCCCCCAACCTATACCCTCCACCCCCCCCCCCCCCCCCACCAGCTCCATGAAGCGAAAACGACGTAAACATACAGTAGTTTCCAATCATAATGATCAGCAAAAGATGTTTTCTCACCAAATTTCAAACCATACTCATTTTTATATTCACACACAGCCACCCCACCACATAGATCTTCATGTATATATAAAGGCAACCCCCCCCCCAACACACACACATACACACAGTAATACCCAATGATATAATGAAAGAAATTAATTTAAAATACATTATTTGTGACTTGTAAATTCAAATGTCCCTCATGTTTGCTGATATCCACTTTATCCTAGATACACAAACTCATGCATATGAACACACATGTATGCCCCCATCATATACCCCCCCCCTCCAAATACACAAGCATAATCGCATCAGTTGTTATCTTGTTTTCTTGGATATTATCTTCCATTTTTTCTCGCTGTGTGACCTCACATGAAAAGCTATGACAAATTGATTTTATAGTATAGTTTTTAATGTTCTATTTACTATAACAAATAAAACAAAGGTTCACAGTACCATGTTTTATGTATTTCATATTGGCATTATATATGTACATGTATGTACCATAAGATTTCGTTAAAAATGTTTAGAAATCACATTCCTACAATATTAGGCTCTCTTAGCTCTGTCATATTAAAATGGTACGTCTCTGGATCTATAATTCCGTTCAATTAATTCAGCCAAAGTAAGCAGGTACATGTATTGTAACTTCTTAGCTCTTACAAATTATACTCTTCTATACTCACTTTAATTCTAAAGTGTAAAACTCAAAAGTGCACTCAAAATTACTTACAAACTGAGTGAGACAAGGGTTGCACATCATAACATATTCATATGTACAACAGTCAATAACGATATAGATCACAGATTTTGCACCTACACACATGTATATGGTAATTTAAAGCACCAACAAGTTTTTAACCCTCATTTTCACCTTAATAAGTGAACGTGTAAAAAATACCATGACAAGGGCTGACCAAATGAAGATTTAGATATCGAACTGTAAATGTTACTCTAAATACAGTGTACATTCAATATTATAGAAGTTCAGAAAAAAAAATGATATTATAACAATTATCTGTAAAAAAAAAATACCATGACAAGGGCTGTCCAAATGAAGATTTAGATATCGAACTGTAAATGTTACTCTAAATACAGTGTACATTCAATATTATAGAAATTTAGAAAAAAAAAGATATTATTACAATTATCTGTAAAAAAAAAAGACCATGACAAGGGCTGTCCAAATGAAGATTTAGATATCGAACTGTAAATGCTATTCTAAATACAGTGTACATTCAATATTATAGAAGTTCAGAAAAAAAATGATATTATAACAATTATCTGTAAAAAAAAAAAAGACCATGACAAGGGCTGTCCAAATGAAGATTTAGAAATCAAACTGTAAATGCTATTCTAAATACAGTGTACATTCAATATTATAGAAGTTCAGAAAAAAATCATATTATTACAATATCTGTACCTAATCCTTTTAGCTTTACTTGAAGTAGGCTTACTTTTGTTGTAATACATCCTTAGAGAAAATATATTGCATAATCATTGTAGAGCATTTTATTGCCTCCACTTCAAATAGTAAAGGTAAACAAAAAGAATTGTCTTTACTGATGGAGATTACAGTGTGCTTGTATGCAAATGTTGTTGTTTTTTAAATCAATAAAATATATATAATTAAAAAATATTCAAACCCATGAATAGCAATGAGTGATCTTAACACCTGTAAGGAAGCAATGGGTAATAATATTGATTGAAGGTTGTATTGTACAGGAAACCTACAAAGCAGGGCTTGTAATTTAGGGTTCCTGATACAAAATTGAATGAAGTATCTCAAATGTAAAAAAATAAAAACAAAAACAAAATATATGTTGGAATGACAGTACGGTGTATGAACAAGAAAAGACATTACAGTTAATTATTTACAATGTACCTTTTTACAACATATTTTCATTTACAATTATTTCCACATTATCGTAGGACAAATATTATGGATGACTGAAAGAAGTAGTACAAGCATCTATCAACAGTAAGTTACTGTGCAGTAGCTCTGTATTCAAGATGATAAGAAATGCATGCAAGAATAGCTGGTTGAAATAGTTTGTACCGGGGTATGTTTCAAAATCGTGTTAAGACATTGGAAATATGGTTTTAAAGAGTTTCTTATAATGAAACAACAAAAGATACATTTGTGAAGGAAGTCATATGCATATTACATTACATTAATAGTATATGATATCTCTAAAGCGCTTAGAGACATTCTGGATCTATTAAGCGCTAGGACCTGTTTAAAAGCGGAATATTATTATTTTATATCATTACCTGCAAAACACAAAATTTGATTTTAGCAATTTCTTCAGATGGGTAGATAATCAAATGACAAGCTGTATAACGTTCAGTTAAATGTTAATAAAAGCTTAAGTTCAATACATTTTTTTTCTTTACACTGATTTGGTGTAGATATATCTAAAAAATTATCATATCACAGCCTCCAATTCCTCATCAGAATCATCATCATCATCATCATCCCCTACTCTGTTTGACATGGATGGCAAATTTGCGCAATCGATGCATGAGCACATATCGGTGCATGGCATATTATTTTGAAGACAGGAGCAACGGCCTTGTGTACACTGTGTCTTCTTGCATGAACAGTGAGAGAGCTCTAATACACTGGCAGGTGCTGGTGGCAGTGTCATCCAATCAATGACGTACGCATCATCCTCAACCTTCCATCCATGGCTCTCTGGAGATGGTGTCTCTGGTTTAGGGTCAAGACAAAGCTTGTGGACAGCAGCTTGGTAATTTGCCCTCTGTGTGTGCTTGTGGAGACTGTCCTTGTTTGTGGGTAAGCTCTTCTCTCCGCAAGTGCCGCTCTTGAACAATTTACATCTTGCATCATTAACATCTTTGCACCCCTTCTGTCCATAAAGCTCACAGGTGTATGCCTCGATGCCTTCATACAGGGTTAGAGGCACTGAAAATGATGCTCCCAGATTCTGAAATGTGGTACAGTGCTCTTTGCTAGACATCATCAATTTCAGAGCTCTCACCTTCCCAATGCCATACATGGCACTCACTGTGTCACAACCTGTGAAACAGTGCAATCCAATGAGGGCTCTGCACACATCTTGGCCGAAATGGTTGAAGACATTACCGATGGCGATGGTTCGGGTCTTGTTGCCTTGGCCTGTCCGGAAATACATGTTTGCGTCAATATCTTGTGAAAAAGCCAGACAGAGGATGAACACATCAGTGTCGGGACTGTTGATAATTACATCAACACTACAACTGGCAGCATGTAGACTGTGAAGGAGGAGTCTGGTGTCTGCCTCTTCTTGGGTAGAGAATAATGCCGGTAAAGGTTGTATTTCCAGCTCTCCCTTGCTCCTGTCCATGCGAATGGCATGGCATTCTTCCCCATGTCCAACAATAACCGTGACATCATCAATTATGTCCTTTCCCGACTGGCTCCATCTCTCAAAGAGATATTGGAGGAGATTCTCCTTGTTCTCCCCAGAAGAGAGAAACTTTGTCCACTGGTTTGGTATCTTCTGGTCACCAGAGAAGATTTTTGTGAGCTGGGACCCCTCGACAGCACGTCGCCCTCGTTCAGCATTCTTGATGCTCTTGGATTTGTATCTGTCAGGAACAAAGTGAACAATTTTAGATTTGTTCATCTTTGCTTGCTTCACTAATATCTTGAGTACCTGGTCCGCAAATTGCCCAAATGTAGAAGGAGGTTTGATGCTGCGGATCAATGCCATAGCATCCCACACCCATGTAGATCCGAAAGGGATATCTTCTATCGTTGGTGATGGTTTTACAGATCCCTCTAGGAAATGAAGTAGTTTGGCTTTGTTTGTCTTCACTAGAGAGCCATCATGATTAGCTAAAGGAGCAGGCAATGGTCCCAAAGTATGCACAAGCATCTCTCCGATATCAATCTTTCGAACGGTGCCGACCACAATAAGACGTGCAAACAAGTTTCTATCAGCCTTGAGTGCAATCTCTCTTCCTTTCACTCTCGTGATTGAGGATTTTGCTGCATCTTTGAAGGTCTTCAGCTTATTTCTCTTCAGGGTATCATGGAAGCCGACATCTTGTTTGAGTAATCGGTCCTGACAAAATGACATGAGAGCCTCTTCCCCCTTCTCTTTTGCTCCCTTCAGGTCTTGAAGAACAGGTTTTGGTGCCATTTGTCCAGATGTTATGTTGTACAGCTGTTCTCTCTCAAGTGAGGCATCGAATGGGTTGACCATATTGAGTATCGTGTCCATGATGTTCTGGATGTCCCTTTCATCACGATCTATTCTTGATCTATCCAAGTCAATCCTTTGTCGAGTTGAGGTGTTACGACCAGCCATCTCTTGACATTCTCTTGTAATGGCAGCTCTTTCATGCTGTGAAAGAGTCCACCTGTACACAGCACCCTTGTTGAGGGTAAATCCTGTCAATCCTCCCTTGGTCTTTGAGTCCCGATTTGCTGTTTGCTCTATCACTTGGTCACAAGCAACCTGGGCAAAACCATGATTCTGTTGTCGTTGAGCAACAAAATTACCAGCACGCAATGCATCATGAATATCTGGATGAGTTTCCTTCAGTGCACACATTTCAACCCAGTAGGCAGACAAGTATCTCGCATAGTTTACCCTATCATACGAGAAGTACCAGGGAAGCATTGAGCGCACACAGGACAGGTGTAGGTTCCAATCTCCTTGTCTTGTTGCTCTGATAAATTGTAGCAAATCACCAACCATTTCCATGTACGAGCACCAGAACTGAAAAGTCTCATTGTTCTTATTTTCGATGATGAAGTTATCATAGCTAGTGCTTAGATTCTGATATGCTTCTGAGTCAATGTAGTAATCAAAGTCCTGAGATGGAAATGCTGCTTGCATGTCCGAGACAATTTTCTGTGATTGAGCTTGATCTTCCTCTGAAAGGGTGTCAAAGAAGGCCTGCCAACACAAACGATGAAGAGCCTCACATACTAGCTTGTGAGCCCTTAGACTCCTATTGTAGTGATGACCACTTATGACTCCTCTTAAGGACCCAGCAGCAACAACTTCTGATTCAATGACAATGTCCTGGAATCCAGCATCCCCAAACCTCTTTCCTATACAGGCGAGGTAAGCCATAGCAGTATGAAATTCCCCCATGCGAATGACAAGTCTGTCCCTGAACATGTCATTTCTCCATCTGATTTCTTGGGCCTTCGCATAAATTGCTTGGTCGAAGACTACTACGATCCTATTTAGCCCTAGCTGATCAGCAATGGCAACACTGCGACAAAGGATGGTGTATACAGTGTTCAAATTGGTTGGGCTGGCATCTATGACTGGTAGATATCCTATATTTGTCAGTGGTGGAATATCACATCTCTGAAGTAATGTGTTGAACCCACTCCAACCTGGCAATGCATGTACATTTGAAACCTTGGTGAAGTAGTATGCACTGTCTAATCTCCTTGAACTTTGTTGGATGTGGATATGGTCTTCTAAATCTACAGCGACATCTTGCTCAATGAAAGGACCTCTTCTTTGCCCTCCACTGTAGTAGTCAATGTTTGCTGCTGGTGGCTGTATAGACCTCTTACGTGTCCTTTCTACCGAGATACTTTCAGTGCGATGGGTAGTTGCTGGTGATGGCCTCTGCAAGATTATGCCATTGGTGTTATGGGTTGTCCCTTTACCGGAGAGGGTCTCCTCCCCAAAGTCATTATTATCCCACACTAGTGTGGTATGTACAGATGGCAAAATGTTGGGAGGAATGAAGTTCTCGCCTCGTTGAATTTGGAGTTGAGCAAGGGCAGTGTCATGCTCGAGGACTTGTGAGTTCGAGGAGCAGTGCCCTAATCCATTCAACAGCCCAATGAGCTGCGCCGAGCCAGTAAGGTGTCTCACCGACATAGCCAGAGCAGAGTGCTTTGGCATAATCGTCCTACCGCTGGAAGCAAGATTCATTACGTCCTGGCATATTGAGACAATCTTACTTTTCTTTGCATCCTTCACCTGCACTCTTGAATTATCTGGAGGGAGTTCATTAGTTGCACCTACAGTCCATGCCATAAAGTTATACAGCGCATCTGGTACTAATCCCAAAGCCATGTCTGCAGTTAAGTCTCTCGCAGTTGGTGGCCATGGAGGCTGAGGAATGGAATTAGAACCTCTTTCTATTGCTCTTCTGAGTGATTGTGCTGCATGATATAGTGGTCTCAAGTCACATGATGTTCTCACTTGAGGAGCTCCTTCAGTTTGATGAATGTCAGAGTCGGTATCCCCATCAGTCTCATCTGTACTGCTTATGTCGGATGAAAATGGATGAACAACGTCCTCTGCAACTTCATCCATAGATAAATCTTCAACAAAAACTAAATCACTAGCATTACTGTGAGAAGACCTAAGAAATTTGAGAAATGGAAAGGTCTTTTGAAGCCTTCGCTTTAAATTAAATGACTTGTAACTTGGGATTTCTTTTCCCTCTACCTCCTTCACACACTTCTTGAACAATCCAAGCAATTTCTGTAACCTTAACACTTCTCGACCCTTCACCACTCTTACATCAACAACTGATCTACAAAAATGATCATATGACTTCTTATACAAAATGTTCTCAGAGTTTTCTTCTTTGTCCTTCTTTGTGAGAAACCTTGTATAGTTCTGGTAACAGCTCAAGTGGTATCTCACTTCCAATGCGACAGGGTCCTTCCCACGAATCTGCATCAAAATCTTCTCATCGGTGCGCATTTCTGCAGCAAGTACAAGCTTACCTGCTGAAATTGTTTCACATTGAGTTAATTTCTCCTTCCTTCTTTTCCTTGTAAAATGATCACAAGTTGTTTTGTCTTTCCTACATATTATGCACTGCACTGGAAGAATATGCCGAACCCTTGGCTGAACACTATGCTGATCCGACTGCCTCGGTCGAAGTTGTCGGATCTTTGAAGGTGGCTTTATCCCTGAATCTTCTGCCTCCAGTGGAACATCGTTGGTTCTTGTGGCTGAAGCAAGTTTTTAAAGACAAAAAGAGAAACAGGAAAACAAAATTATTATTGGTCCAAGCTTTACATGTAATAATGAAATATCCCATATATACAATTTGAACATTTGAAAATGTTCAGTCCCCTTCCTAAAAAAGGAATACGTAAATTTCATTGTGGACAAAATAATTTTTCAACATCTTAGTTAACAAGATTGAAAGCTGAATAACTGTTTCATATTGATGGCTTGTTAATGTGGTCAATGAATACCCAAGCTATTTTCTGAGTGGCATTACTATTAGCTGAATCAACGTGCTCATTATTTGTAATTTCTTCCCGATGATGTTTGATCGAACTTGAATATGTCATTAGACATTACACATTTACCATACGAGGTCAACTATAAACAGTGTCGACCTTACGACCATTATCACCTTGTCGTACATGTATGAAAAATGAGATTCAGCACTCGCAGTATTATAGAAGGCCTAGTGCATACAATGAATAAGTTGCCAGGAGTGACAACAGTCAAGATTTCATTTGTTTAAGTATTTTTCTTTTCCAACATCGATGATGAAATTTATTGTACAATAAATACTTTACTGTCAATTAATTCAGCTCAGTCAGATGTCACCCATGACCAAGTGTAACTTAAGTAAAGCTTTAGAGTGAATTTAAGTATTGTACAATGACGTTGGAAATTTTTTAGAATTAATATAGATCTAGAGGTGCTCGTGTTTTGTTCAAATAATTGAAGTAGACTAGTTCTCATGGTTCTAGACTAGTATTATTAAGTCTAAGAAGTAAGAGTAAGACCCTAACTTTGCTTTTTTGCGTGTGTGTGAAACTGAATTTATTATGATGATAGCCTACCTACATATATATAATGCCTGTAGCTGTATATCTTATTAAGGGAATAACTAGTTTGTGGGTAAAATCAAGTGATTTCAGAGATAAGCGTTAAGCCCACGCAAGAGAACCCAGATCTTACACGAATACCAATGCATGGGACTGTAATGTGAAAAAACTGGGCAAACAATCCATGACTAAAACCTGATGAAACCTTCACTGTTTAATCATAACAATGCTTTTGAAATATTTAAAAAATGACAGTAATAAATTACCTTCATGTCCTGATCTTTCTTGCTTCTTCCTGACCCTCTCGATCTTAGTTTTGTCGGTAAATCGCATGTAACATGCGCGATGGTAACCCAAAGTTTGAGGAGGCACATTGAGAATATCTGGAGACAAAACAAGCTCCAAATCATACTTTTCAATGGCATGGGTAGCAATAACACCTTCTTTAATGTCAAATTCCTTCCACTGGTGAACACTGATAACAAATTTCCTCCAGCTTGTCTCAGAAAAAGAGATAATATTTGTCGAATCGCCATCAACAATGTGCATGCAACACTCCATGGTCATGGTGCACTAGCAGACTAGACATACAGACAGTGCATGCGAACCAAGACTCAGAATACATGGACTGTGATTGGTCAATTGCACTATGAGCTCTAATACCCCAGCTGTGATTGGCCAATTAAGGAACAGCTATGACATCATCATTGCAGAATGGCTGTCTGCTACATACAGTGATATTTGCAACTTTATATCAAAATTGTGAAAAAATGTACCAGCCAAAAGTTGGGAACATTTGACCATTGTTCTTAGATACATGTCCATTGATCATTTAGGACAAAATAAAGTACTTCCCAGGGAGAGACCACGGAACTGAAGAATTTTGAGGCTTGGCCCATGGTCTACTGGTATTAAAGGTACATTCCATCTCCCCAGTCAAGAGGGGAGTTAACCCCCTCCGTCCTGCTAATTAATTTCTGGATATTTCTTTCCTCTTTTGACCTGCTTGGCAGTTATGTAATTTATTGTTTTCTAGTGACAAGTCTAATGATTATTCTGTTTGGTGTACATTCAAACTTTTTTTATATTCGTAACTTTGCATTCCCCACTCTTCTTCTCTCCCTCTCTCCTTCTCTCTCCCTCTCTCTCTCTCTCTCTCTCTCTTGCTGTTTCACAAAAGGCTGATTAAGCAGTCTTTTAACGCACAAACAACAGATATTATGATTATATATTCTTTTCAAATAACAACTACTGAAAACAGATTTTTTTTTTTTCTTCAAGAGAATTGTATTGATAAACAATTGAATAAAGATTAAAGAAAGACCTGCGATGAGGCTCGTACAATTTGTCTCAGATCAACAGCAAGCAAACATTTATTTATTTAGTCTTCTTTAAAAACACAAGTTAGCCCTATTCAGTGCCGCAAGGCCTGCTTTACAAAAGGGACCCTGTATCAAGTGGACACTACAATGTATAAAGTTAAAACACAACTTAAAGAAAAACACATAAATACATAAAATACATGGCAACTAAAGAATAAATGTACAGCAGTGTTATGATAGATTTATATAAAACCTGTTAATATAGAATAAAATCAATTGGCTTTAGTTATTGCGATATGATATAATAGACTGTTTTAGCCGTAGGTTTGTTTTAAAATATATCTAGTGTGGATGATACTTGAACAAGCATTGCTTGTGAAATAAAAGGTTCGCTTGCAGTATATAAGATGGAGCATTTTTTATATTCAGTACTTGGTTTTGGTAGGTATTATTGGCAAGAAATGATATATTCAATTCAATTCAATTCAAATGAACATTTCTTTTCTTCCATTCAATTGGACAAACATATTTGACATCTGTTCAAACAATACAATTTATACGTAGTAACATAAATATAATTAAAGAACTTGTAGTACAAGGAAGAGGGCGCGAAACCCGATAAGCAGAGCTTGTAATGGTACGCCCGAATACACAAATACATAACATACATTATAAATAGAAGAAAGGAAGAAAGGCAAAGGCAAAGAGGAGAGGAGGATAGAGAGCTTGGAGAACAAGAAAAGAAGAGAGGAAAAGAGGAGGACTACAGCATAGTAGCAACGGAGTGTATGGCATGCATAAACAACATAATGGCAAGATATAGGTGAAGGGTATAATGTTGAAATATTTGACTGCATATATATATATACATATAATTCGTTACAAGTACATGCATTTATACAACATAGACCTATACATACATACATGTATGTTTACATAATTATACACATCCATACACATCCCGTTATACAATATACATACACACTCGTCAACCTCGGGTACAGGGCTAATACTTATGCACTGCAATTTAAAATGATACATTTTTTAAGCTTTCAAGAGAAGCTTAACAGAGATACGGATTTCCTCATAGGTCCAGGTAAATCGTTCAAAAGCTTACGTTTCAATAGATACTATAGTATATAGATTACACAGGTATTGTGGGGCAAGTTTGTTCAGTTACTTGTACACCATTAAAACAAAAACGAATGCTTGTTCTTTGTACAATTGGCCGCCATTAAAGTCAGTGAAGAAGTCCTCATGATCGTGCATTATAGTTAGAATTCAAAACCATTCAAGCTTATTTGTAATTACTTCTTTCTTTCCTCAACATATCTTTTTGTTTGTTAAAGAGCCCCAAACAGAACAACATTAATACATGTACGAACGTATGAGTGTCAAATACAATTATTATAATTTTGTTTATTAGTTAAACAAGACTTGCTTCTTCGTATACACAGGCCCAAACCCTGGCCCCAACAATATGTTAAAAAAACAGAAGACGGACCCCCACCCCTGGCCATACCCCCCTCTCCATCCCACCACGCTTATTCGCCGGCTGGATCTGCCCCTGCGTATACATGCAATTGATCGAACGATTTTCTTAACTACTTCATCAACATGATATGCCCAATTAAACTTGCGTTCGAGAATCACACCAAGGTGTTTAAGTTTAATGCCAGTTTCTAGAAATTGAACATTCATAAATATCTGAAAATTAATAGTATTCCTTTACCGACTGGATGAAAACAATATACTTTTTTTTGGTCTGAGATAATAATCATTCCGTTATTTAAAAACCATTTACTGAGCTTATTATTCTGATTGTTAAATTGACTGCACTATCATTGTATCAAAACCTGAATTACATACTGCTGCCTCGTCCGCATAAAGTGAGAGTGTGAGTATGTGAATTAAAATGTAGATTCGAGATATCATTCATGAACATACACAAAAGAAGCGGTCCTAATATGAATCCTTGTGGGACTCCTCTTCGAACGGGGAGATTTAACTTGTGTTTTCTTGATAAAATACGCATAGCTTTCTGCCTTCATCAATTTATGTACTTCAGAAATTCCAAAGTACGACCTTTTTATCAAAAGCAATTCATGGGGTAAAACGTCAAATGGTTTTCTAAGGTCAAGGAATGCAGCGCGAACAAAGTTACCTTCATCAAAGTTCTCATATAAAAAATAGCAAATTTCTGTTATTATGTTGCAGTTGAGTGATCGACTCTAAAACCAGATTGGCGCTCAATCTCTAGAATGTTCTTTTTTCTTTCTTAAACTCATTTAAAGCCATATATAGATTTTTGGTGAGCCTCCTCCTCCCCCACCCCATACACACTCACACAATTGTTTTTACTCCACTTTCTGAAAAGCAAGGTACTAACAGTGACATGATGCTATAAAAAATGACTTGGGCCGGCATACTGAGAAATAAACTATCTTCCACTTTTTTTGGTCGATATTGGAATAATTTTGCCAGACTGTGTCAATTTAATCCTTACCGAATATTTACATAGTGGATTAGAATTAAAACGTCTCTGGAGAATATCCGGGAGTGAAATATGTACACACTATAATTTATTCACACTATCATCAATTACTGCACATGGCCTCAATTGGCTACATAAACAGGGTCGTTACTTAAAGGGTAACATTCCTCTCCCTTTCTAGCATTGTCTGCAAATTGCAAAAACAACAACAAAATTAGCCTTTTTTCATCTCATCTTTTCTGAAATCTTTTTTTTTTTGTATCCGTTGTCGCCTTGTCGGTCAATTTGATTATCTGACGACTGTTTTTTTCTTTTCTTAAAGAGGCCTATCTGTAATTGGCACCTTTCAAAATGTTTATTTGTTGTTGTGTTCCGGGGCTTTTTGAAAATAAGGGCTGCCTAGTTGGCAACTTTTGCCACCACCACTGCCAGTTTCAAAGCGGTCTAGCGGCGCCTTTATTTATAGCATAGTGCTTTCTACTCCTGATCTTCAATAAGTGCCGAATAGAATTTAGCTCCAGGTCGTATTTCAAAAGCGTATGTAGACGTTGCCAGACATTCCTTGCCGAGTAAGCACGAACCTTCGCAGGCGATGAAAGTATAACACGAGCAACGGACATCAGCAAAACACAAGTGACTGCATTTGATGATTGACGAAACTGTGTATGATGACAGAACATAGGCATCGATGAGGGCGACATTGCTGGCCAGTAGTCGGAAGTTTTTAGCGCTCGTGTGATCTGTTTCAAAGGTTATAAAGTTAAAGATAAAATCACAGATATGAGTTAGGTCAGCTTACAAATCCCCGAAAATATGCAAAATGATAAAGAGAGAAAAATAGGAAATGAATCAAATTATTCCTTCGAGATCCTTGTCGTTTTCCTTCAAACGAATGTACTTTATTAACAATTTACTTACATAATTTGCCTTCTTATATTACCCTGTACCATCTTAATTCTAATCATCGACACCAAAATGCTTGATTCACCCCTGTCATCAAGTGTAACGTGAACGGGTTGAAGGGTTACATACTATGGTCACAACCCGCAAAAGTAGCTTGCTCGGCAGCCGGACGGCGAGTTTTTAGCCAATTTTTGACCAGGCACCGAGCGACGGCCGCCCGAGTACCGTTTGTTTTAAGGGCGTCGCTCGGTCGCCGCTGAAGTTTTTAGCGCGGAGTTAAAATTCGGGCGGCGCCTGCTCACTTTTTACTCGCCGCCCAAAATACGCTCAGTGCCTTGGCGGTCGCCGCCCTGGCAACGACCTTATCGAGCGTTCGCTGTCGAGCAATTTAGATCAAAAATCGAAGCCGCTAGGTCAAAGGCTGCCGAGCGGTCACCGCCCGATCGCCGCTCGATCACCGCTGGGAGATCAGTCGGTCACTGGGCGGCGAATTCAAAATCGGTCGGCGTCCAGGCGGCGTCTGCTCACTTGTTACTCGCCGCCCAAAATACGCTCAGTGCCTTGGCGGTCGCCGCGCTGGCAACGACCTTATCGAGCGTTCGTAGTCGAGCAATTTAGATACAAAAATCGAAGCCGCTAGGTCAAAGGCTGCCGAGCGGCCACCGCCCGATCGCTGCTGGGATCAGTCAGTCACTGGACGGCGAATTCAAAATCGGTCGGCGTCCGGGCAGCGCCAGCTCGGCAGCCTTTGACATAGTGGCTTCGATTTTTGACCTAAATCGCTAGATGACGAACGCCCGATTAGGTCAGTGCCCGGTCGGCAACCGCCCAGGCACCGAGAGTATTTTGGCCCTACGAGACACCCGCAGAAGGCCCGTTGATCACCAGCCGGCCGCCGGCTAATTTCTCTAAAATCAGCCGGTGGCCGGTCGGAGACCGCCCGGGATCGGTGGGTCATCAGTGGGTCACTGCCGGGACGCCGCGCGGGGATGCTCCCAAATTCGCCTAGTTTTGACCTAAAATCGACCGGCGACCAACGAAAAACCGACAGTGCACCGCCCGGCGTCGCTGGGGCTCTACAGCCTGCTCGACTTTTCCAAAAATCGTTGGGTAATGCCTAAAGCAATGGTCAC